AGCTTTAAAAGCTAGGATGGAAAGTCTTCACCTCACATCCTTTAGGCATGTTATCAGAAAGGGCCAGTCCTTGCAGAAAGACATGATGTTCCTAAAGCAGAGGGTCCGTGAACAAGAGGAAGACTCTCAATCAGATGTGGGACACAGTGGCTGTAACAACAGGCTCAGAACATCAGTGACTGTATGGACGGTGCACACACACAGTGACAGTGCTCCATCACACACAGCGCTACCACATGGGTCAACTCAATGACACCTAACAACTGTTGTTGTTGTTGTTAGGTGCCGTTGAGTCACCTGTGACTCCCTAAACCCTGCTCTACATAATGCCAATCTTATTGTCTCTGACACATATACCCCGATTACCCCATTCACTGAATCAATCCATCTCATCAAGGGTCTTCCTTTCTTGCACTGTCCCTCCACCCTTCTAAGCATGACATCCCTCTCTAAGGACTGATCCCACCTTGCATCATGTCCAGAATATGTCAGAAGAAGCTTCAGAATCCTTGCCTCCAAGGAGCAGCCTGGTTTCACATTTTCCAGGTTAAACCTGTTCGTTCTCTTAACATCCATAGTATATTCAATACTCTTCTCCAGCACCACAGCTCAAAGGCATCAATTCTCCTTCTATCATCCCTAGTCATTGGCCAGTTCTCTGATGCATAGCAAGTGATTGCAAAGACCATGGCCTGTATCAGGCGCACCTTAGTCTGATAACAACAGTTACATGAGACAAATCCACTTGTACCATATTTTTCACAGACAATTGTCTTTTTGTCCCCAAGAATTTCCTGGAAGATTAGCAGTAGAAAGTCCGAGAAAAGGTCTTACGAGCAGCTTTGCTAAAAACCTAATAAAAGATTATTATATGAAAATTTGGCATAAATAACACTGTTCATTGATTTCTTCTTTCAGTGATTTGACTGAAAGGTTCCTCTTATCTATGCACAGAATAACTTGTTCCATTGCACTGGAAACAGTTTCCACAATATATAAAACTATCTTTTCTGTAGTCATTGTTGTTACCATTTGTTTGACTTAAGATTTTTGTTTTTCCAGTTATGTCTTATGAGTTTTTTCTAGGCTACCATTTTATTCTAAGCCGAAACAGAATTTAAATATCTATAAGAATAAAAGGAACCCTCATGGGACTGTGGTGATGCACAGCTGTTGGCAGAAAGGGTGGTGGTTTGAATCCGCCAGCTATTCTCAGGAGAAAGAAATGGCAGTCTGCTTCTGTTAAGATGTTGGTTGTTGTTCCGTGCTGTTTAGTCTACTGTGACTCATAGAGACCCTATAAATAGAAACCCTGCCCTATCCTGCGGCATTCTCACTATCTTTACCATGTTCGTTGATGCTATCAGGGTCTTCTTCTCTTTCATTGACCCTCTACTTTTCCAAGAACTATGTGGTCTTTTTTTCAAAGACTACAGCCTTGGAAATCCTACAGGACAATTCTACTCTGTCCTCTAGGGTCCTTATGAGTTAACAGAAGGGTTTGGGGTATTTTTCTTGTTTTTAATATAGTAAAAAGAACAATACATTAACAGGGTCATTGTGTTGTTATGTGCCATTGAGTCGCTTGAGACTCATTGCAACCCTATGTATACAAGAGCCCTAAACCTTGCTCTCTCCTGTGCCAATCTCACTGTCTCTGACACACCTATTACTGTTATCCCAATCACTGAATTGATCCATCTCAACAAGGGTCTTCCTCTCCTGCGCTGTCCCTCCACCCTCCCGAACATAATGTCCCTCTCCAAGGACTGGTCCCTTCTTGAAACATGCCCAAAGTATGTCAGATGAAGCTTCAGAATCCTTGCCTCCAAAGAGCAGCCCATCTTCACCCTCCGCAGGACAAACCTGTTTGTTCTCCTAGCAGGCTATGATATATTCAACACTCTTCTCCAGCACAACTCAAAGGCAACAATTCTCTTTATATCATCCCTAATCACTGTCCAACTCTATGATGCATAGCACGCAACTGTGAAGACTATGGCCCATATAAGGCACACCTTACTCTCCAGCTTGACGTCATCGCTCTTCAGTACTCTGGAGAGATCCCTGACAGCTGACTTTCCCAATGCAATTCATCTCTTCATTTCCTGGCTACTGGTACCAAGAGTGTTGACTGTGGAACCAGGCAAACTAAAACTGTTAACAATCTCAATCTCTTCACCATCTATAATGATGCTGCCAATTGGCCCAATGGTGAGAATCTTTGTTTTCTTGATGTTGAGCTTCAATCCATATTAAGGCTGCAGTCTTTGACCTTCTGCAGCAAGCGCTTCAGGTCCTCCTCAGTTTCAGTAAACAGGGTTGTGTCATCTACATAATGCAGGTTGTTGATGAAATCACCAATCCTGATGCCACATTCCTCCTCATACAGCCCTGCATCCTGGATGATCTTTTCTGAATACAGATTGAAAAGGTATGGAGACAGACTACATCCCTGGTAGCCACTCTTCCCAATTTTGAACCATGCAGCATCTCCTTGCTCTTTTCTGATGAGTGCCTCTTGGTTCAAGTATAGGTTTCGCATAAGCACAATCAAATGTTCTGGGATTCCCATTCTTCTCAGAGTCAACCATAGTTTATTGTGATCCACACAGTCAAAAGCTTTTGCATACTGAAATTAATAACAAATTTAAATTAAATAAAAAGAATTAAGTTAGAGTAAGGATGGCAATGGAACCACCTTACCTCTGTAACTTGATTTGTGCCACTATTAGAA